GGCACATGCATTAACGCGGGTCCGCTGTGTTTCAACACTTCTGGTGGTATCCCATCGGGTCTGATGCACTTTCGCAGCTAAGCAAGTGCTCTCTGCGTCTCATCCAGTGTCCGTGTGTCAGTAAGACACATCTTCATATCTTGCTTTTGCGACCGGCCCGTTACCTTAAGGATCAGAAGCTTGCGTTGTAACCCGGAGGCGCGGCCTCCATCTTGCTTAGGCGACCGAGCGACCCTCGCAGTGTCCTTAACTTACGTGCGAATCGCGGTTATTGCGCGGCAGAGAAGCCTCGGTACTGCTGATGCCCTTTTTCTTTTTTTGTTTTTGGATTTCGTGCAATATATCCCAGTCAATATCTGAATGGTTGTCCACGTGACAGTCGAGCTGCTTTCGCCAGACCTGCATTATGTCTGCACGCAGGCAGCGCCTGAAATGGCTTCCACCAGCGTACTCAGCGGCTGCAGATTGGGATCAACGTGAAGCGGACTTTGGCCCAGCAATGGCCTTGTGAACATCTGGTACGCATGATTTCCCAGTGTAACTGACTAGCATATTAATGTTGTGCATGTTGAATGCGAGGGTGACTTCATTTCTACGGACCAAACCATCGTTTGGCCTCCCCTCCTCTTCATTCTGCTCCCGGTCGTGCAAACAGCGCACGTCGTGCGTGTCGGTGTGCTGACATGCGCAGCGTCGTACCTAAACTAGGCCGACTACGAGCGTTCCCTACGTTTTTCATGAGCAGGCTCAACTCGGCCAATTCCTTCGTCCTAGTATACTTTCTTTCTTTGAAAGGTATACTTAAAATCCTTACGATCAGGTTGGTGTCTCGGTGCTCCCCCAACCCTGACACCCCATAACCGGTTTCGTCCTACTTTGGACTCATCAGATGGAGATAGCCTGAGCTGGAGTGGACCTCGAGGCCTAGTGTTCAAAGGTTGACGCCTTGACCACTATGGCTCTAAGATCCGCGAGCAACACTTGGCACAGCGGTAAAGAGTTTCAAGTAGCATTTAACGTACCCGCTGTGCGGTTGGATTACGACTCATAGTTCAATCACACAGTGGGTACACCAAATATCACTTGGAACCTTATGTTCACTTTACATACCAGATTGTCACGCGACTCAAGTTGGCGGATTATGGGACGGCGTCTCGACAACAAGGCGAATAGGCTTCACGCACGTGCACACTGTTTTGATTGGAATCTAAACACAGGTTCAATATTAGTGGATACCTTCAAATGGTGTAAGTTGACGTAAACGTTTGCACTGAAAACCGGTGCCACTCATATAACGAATGTGGTCGGCGCGTGATTAGAGAAATCTAGCACCATTGTGTCTCACATGCGCAAACTCCCAATCGACCTTTTAAACATCGTTCATATCTCCACTAGCGACTCACCGGTCATTTGTTTTCTTCCTACACGGGTTAAGAGCGAGTGCTACTGCTCGAATTTATGTCGTTCGTCTCCGATTTATAATCGGTTGATAAGTGCACCGAAACAGTGGAATGGTATCTTATCTCTAGCCGTGGTTTATTACTCTCTTTGTGAGTCCGAAATTGAACTGCACGCAATTGTCTATAAAACGACATTTACCCAGGTGTTATTTCCTTCACCACATCTGTGGTGGACAATGCCAACATCATAATAACATTGACCTCTTAGTTCTGTGTCGCTAGATACGCTGTAAATATGGGCATTGCCAGCAAACTGTGTACTAGTCGGTCTGAGACCCATTACGGCAGTACTGTCTCTGGTGCGCTTTCGAAAACAGCAGTCACATCTCCAAATAAGGAGGGACGAGAGCTAGTGTGACTTGTTTGCTGAGTTGAAGTTGATTTGGGCGTTCAAATAAATCGGTGGGAAGTGGAATTTTATGTGTGCAACATGTGGGAAGTTGGTTGCCACTTAAGGAATGTGGCAAAAGAAAGTGCGCTGGTGACAGTCTTTGGAGGTGGATGACAATCCGGTCGCATACTCCGAGAGATCAGTTTTGTTTTGGGTCCCATATCTCATTACTTTAGTCTACAATGCAGTGGGTTGCAGTTCCACATCTAGTGTATAACTGATATCTCACTGATCTCTGCTCGAACTGGTTGTACATGTTACGTTGGATGACTTCGAGCTGTTCATATGTGTTGTTCGGCTGTATTAGCTTATACACCTATGACTGGTCTCTTTTAGTTGGTTCACATCTTATTGATCAGTAATTATCATTCTTGATGTTGACAGTCACAAACCACTCTGCAAGGGTTTTCTTTCCCAAAACCCTAGTCATCCAGTGCTCTACTCCATTCGAGCTCAAGTCATGATCAACTTTATAACCGGTGTGGGAGCATTGCCAGCAATTGTGGTAACGCTAACACGGGATATGCTGCTACAGTAGCGTCAGTGGAAAACTACGCAAAATGACAAGGAGAACCAATAGATTGCATTTGCACACAAGCAACTGATTTCATAGCTGATGCTTCATTGCTTTGGGGTCGACTAACAAACGAGATAGATAGGGCAATGTGGGACTGCGATAAGTCGAGGTACGCAAATTATAAATTTAAGTTTCAACCGCATGGAAGAACTAGATGTCGTATTGACTGGAACAATTTGTAAACGAGCCTTTAGAATAATAGATGAAAAATTAAAGCTTGCATCAAAAGGTTTACTAGCGATGAAACCAACGAGGAACTCCTTACCTTATTCAAGGCACCGGGAAATAAATTTTAGTGCTTGCAAAAGAAAAGCGCAATCCATTGAAAGAAGCCCGAGGAACATAGCAGGGGGATAAGATAACGAATTGTGAGAATGCATGCATTTGCGAAGCCATAGAGCATTAAAGGATAGTTTTATGGCTTTTTCAATAGTTTCAATCGCATGTGTCGGTCAGGATTAGTTGTAAGACAAGAAAACATTGAGATGCTTTACGGTGATTAAATGCGAAAGCTTTAGTCACTCACGACAGAAGGAGCGGAGAAATCAAGAAGGGAACGGGGTCGGTCGCAGTGGAGCAAAGAGGATGTGACATACAACACCTGAAATAGTCAACAGAGTGGCATCGCTACCTTGGCGAATTCGAAGGTTCCTCTAATCCTGGTTGGTGTCTCGAAGCTTCCTTAATTTCTGGGGCTATGCAGCCTAGCACGACGCCATCAGCATACACATATCCGATGCAACTTAATGGCATGTTCAACCGTTTGACATAGAGCGAAACCGAAAGAGGGATAAAAAGTAACTGCTTACGAGACGCCACAGTTATCTGAAATCGCGGAAGACCTACTTCATAGCTGCGTGCAGTGTGTACAATTTGTAAACTTGTCACGCATTACATTACGTAACATACTTATGGGGGTTTGTCATTTTCGAACATTAGATCTAATAGTAACTGTCTGCCTAACCGAGGAACAGGAGCCGCACAGTCTTGCATATTTTATGCAATTTAAATGCATTTGAACACAGGAGATACGAGACAGCATCCAATGTAGAGAAACCTGGCTTGTACGCACATTGTTATCTGTATGACTACTTGTGTAATTGCAGTGTGATACATATTTTTCCATCAGCTTCAACAACACAGGACTGCACGCTATTGGTCGATACTTCTGTGCTTGTAATTTTAATGTTTTTCGTCCCGGCTGTTCACAGCCCAGTCCGGAAAAGCACCAACCGCGTTTCGCCCTATTGGGGCTCGTCAGTAGTTCGCATTCCCTCGGTCCCCTACTGGAGATCAATTATTGACCGCGAGAGGCAGATGCCAACTAGCCATCGGCTTAAGCCACTGAGCCATCTAGGGCGTCGGCTGGGCTACATAATTTACAAGCTAACTTAGATATAGCACGACCTATCTTCCACTGCCACGCAGGTTACTACCTTAGCAGATGACAGTGGCTAGCCTCCGAAGGTCATGACTTCCTCTCACTAGACGCTACGTCCATAGCATTTGAAACTAGCAGATGCTACCTTTTATATTACTAGCGAGTAAGTGGATTTTTTAATTGTAATTGTTGTTTTTCTGTGATTTCTTCGTTGGCATTTGTTATTCTGACTGCTTTCCGGATGTCGGGGCTGGTACCAGACGTTAAACATCGGTTGAAAACCTCTGTCAGAGGTTATTGTAATGCATCCATACACCACTTTAGAACAATCGTTGACAGTGCCTTAGGGCCAATAGTTTCGTTTGGCTTCAGTTCCCTGTAAACACTAGTGTGGTCAAACAGGATGGTAGCATCAGTAATGAGGAAGGAAGGTGGAAGAAATGTGTTCGTTGATGAGTTGTATCTGTTAAATTCGCCCACATCCACAGTATAGAGAAGGCTACAGAAATTTTTGTCGGTAGTTGCTTCAAGAGCCTCCACAGGCTGCTTAATCTTCCTTTACTGACTGTTATATCCACATTCGAATATTTGGTTGATTTTAGAAAGGGAAATCCATCGACCTCTCCAACCTTCGGTGCGATGTACGTGTGTGCTCTTATTGCTGAATTGCCTTCTGTGATTTGTTTTATAGATTACACTATGTGCAACCTAGCGTAGCCCGGTGGCTCAGTTAAGTATGAAAACTACGTCTGGCTAATGTCTATTCTCGCCTAGCCCACAGTTGCCTGACTTTACCTTCGGTTTGATTTTTTTGAAAGTTTCCACAAGTGCGATCCTTTGTTATTTGTCTTTTTACAGTCTCTCTCTCATCCTAAGTGCGGCCTTGCTGTCTGTACTTGGCTCTTCTGTTTAAGCTAGTTTACCCGGCCCTGTCAGTTGATAACCGCTAACTCTGTACGTATTTCGACGAACCTAGATAGATGTCAATAGGTTGACTGCTTTTTATTTCGCACTGCGTTACTCGCCTATGCTCTCGTCTGTACACCCAGCCCAGTTGCTACTCGACCTTGCTTGAAGTGCATTCATCTCATCACATTCGCTGCTTTCGGTGCTGACCGTCACTTCTTTGTGCGCGTTGAGCACTTGCATCGCTGTTTTTTACTCATCTTTTATTTTATGTCAATCCTGCAGTACAACCCACTATTCGCCGACTGTTTCTGGAACAGCAGCCGAGATTCTTTGCTGCAGTACATTTTCAAAATGATGACCTCTTGGGCCATAGTCGTGGATGTGTGGTACCTACCGCCAACTCGTATACGTCCTGATGAAAATGGAATCGCCTTCGCCAGGCGCGTGCAGCAGAGTATTGCTCGATGCGGTGGGATGCTAGACATCGACTGGTGCGTCTAACTATTTTCCCGTTGTGATCTTGCTCTGCTTTTCTGGATTATCTGTCATTTATACACCAGAAAGAGACGTAACCCTTTGGTTAACCTTAAATCTGTCTAAACACACATGACGAGCACTTTCGTCTGGTTCGGTACGTTCTCAGCCATGTCCACTCTCAAAATCCCCTTCAAAATTTCTTCCTGCCTTTTTCCCGGTTATTCTCTTTAATTCCCCTCACGATAACTTTCCACGCTTGGCTCTGATCCACACACCTGGGTCTTTCAGATGCCGCGCGTAGCTTATATATCACGTAACAACGCCTTAACGCAGCACCTAACCTTGATTGGCCGTTACTGTATCTTTTTGCTTCCAAGCTTAGTATTTTCATTGTAAGTTCCGTCACTGATCAAGTTCCCATCATCAGTTCTTTGTTAGCTGCAATATTTCCTGTGTGCCTTAGTTCTTAGTGCTTGTAATTCATCATTCTAAGCCGCTGATTGCATTAATTGGTGTTTGTCGCCAGTCATTACCGTCGCTTTCCGGATCACCTTCGTTACTGTCACTCATGTGTAGGTATGATTCACCTCATAGCCCGATGAAAATTTTCCATTTTCCGTCTGTTTATATCTGAATACTTCTAGCGCCAGGATGAAATCTCTGCTAGTTGGCTTTCATCCCCATCTATTTCACACTTCCATCATTGTTTTGTTGGTCACTTTTACCGGAATCGGCTTTATCAAGACTATCCTGTTGGTTGCTGGGGTCTCGGGTCCGTTAATTGCCTCTCAGAGTTTCCTTATTTTTGAACAAGGTAGTGACACGAAGGCATGCATTCCGACGCGCCTCTTCAGGACGCCTTGGTTGTTTTTTCTTCTGGATTTTTCTCCTATCGCTTAGCACTGCTGCTTTTTAACTCATTATTTCTCTGTCAAGCGCTGGAATTATACTTGCCTCCATCTCCTGCAGGCCGACCACGTTCCGGTAAACACAATCAGATTTCTCAGTTTGTATTAACTGCCGTCTGCACCGGAGCAGCTAATGGGCGACGTGATTGACATCTATGTTATCAGACTAAATTCCAATTCCGCATCCGCTTAGCTTCGCAGTCAACGCCTTCGCTTAATCCGATTTATTAGTATACATTTTTCTTATTTGACCTGCTCAGTTTACTGAGTGCTTACTGCCCCATGCTTTTTGAAAACTGATTGCGTGTCCTGTTTTGACAATAGTTTTAGCAGCGACGGGCGGCTAGCTTCTATGATTAGTCAACACCTAACACCAGTTGTCACAAGATTACTGCCCTCGATTCTCATTCATCGCCTCACTGCGGAACGGGAATCTCGGATTAGGGAAGAGCAGGCAGGTTTCCGCCCATGACGTGGCTGTGTAGACCATATATCCACTTTGCGGCAGGTGCTAGAGCAGCGCCACGCATACTGCAGACCGACAATAGCTGTGCTCCTCGATTTCAAGAGTACGTTCCATTCAGCCGGTCGATCGATTCTGTTCGAAATACTTGCGCGGAAAGGTGTTCCCACCAAATATGTGAACATCCCGCCTGCTCTATACTCGAACACTACAGGTCGCGTCAGGGTCTACGGTGTCCTATCGGATGGCTTTTCGACCACAAGTGGCATTCGTCAGGGTTGTCCGATTTCCTCATTTTTGTTCAATTTCGTCGTGGATTCTATCATGAAGTGTTCCCTTGCGGAATCTCACGATGTAGGCGTTGAAGTGCTGCCTGGTGAAAGATTAGTTGATCTAGGTTATGCGGACGATATCGTCTTGCTTTTCGACGATGTTGTGGAGACACAATCAACCCTTAATAGCCTGTTCAGAGTGGTCCCATTATTTGGTATGCACTTCGCAAGGTGTTGCTGCAGGACCACCAGCCACTTGTTGACCCCTTGACGCTTGCTAACGAGGAACTCGAGGTTGTTGCTCATTTCACTTATCTTGGCAGCTGCATCAGCAATGATGTGCGCATGGAAACTGACGTGAGCTCACGCATTGCAAAGGCCAGAGCTACCTTCTTGAAACTGCGGCACCTTTGGCGACAGAAGGGAGTTTCCCTTCGTCTGAAAGGCCGTGTATACAATGCCACAGGGAGGGCCTTTCTGCTGTATGGTAGTGAGACTTGGCCCCTTCGGTCTGAAGATCTGACGCGCCTTCAAGTCTTTGACCATCGTTGTTTGCGAAGCATTGCTGGTGTCGGATGGCACCAGCGTGTTCGCAACGATGATGTGCATAGGCGAGTACTAGGTGGTGATAATCATGCTAGATCCCTAGAACAACAGATAGCATTGAATAAGTTGCATTGGCTGGGGCGTGTGCCACGTATGCCTTATCACCGCTTACCTAGGAGGGCCTTGTTTAGTCTGCCAGGTGTAGGGTGGCGCTAGGCTCGAAGTGGACAGAAGTTGACTTGGCATCGGGAAATGAAGTCACTGACGACCAAACTGGGTGCCGTTGGTCCGTCTCGCCTTCCGGGCTGGAGTCCACGTGACTCGCCTTGTGCCTGGCTCGAGACTTTGCAGGACATGACTCGCAATCGACACCAGTAACGCGTGTTTTGCCGTCTCCTAATCGGATTGCTGTTTAAAGTGTGTTTGATGCTGATTATGACGCGTGGCAGTGAAAGCCGCAAGGGAGCTGTCTCGCCGATGCCGCCTTATCTTTGCACGATAGCCAGCTGTTTGTGACGATATGTTGTCTACACAAGGTGTAGGCGTCTTGACCCTGAATTTTGCTTAGGGCATTAAGGTTTTTCAGGTAAGTCCCCCTTCTCTCCCTCTTCTTATTCTTTGTTTCATAGGTCCTCATGGTTGTATGGCAGCGAATCATCAATTTACATTGCTGTTGTTTTTGACGATGGTGATGATGATTAGTCGACGTATTGTGAAGATGAATCGTCTTAATCAGTTTGCGACACCTGTCTGCAATGAGATCCGTTTTTCTTCACATTAACCGTTCAGTTCCATTCAGTTCATCACCTACGAGACACTTTCGTCAACATCCACCACGTGTGGAATCGGTGCGACATCACCCTAGTTCTGAAAAGCAGAGTTTACAACGCAGCCGTGCGTTCAATCCTCATGTACGGTTGCGATACCTGGGATTAGATCGCGGGACATGAAGAGTCTAGTAGCGTTCCACCATCATTGTCTTCGCAGTATAGCTCACAACTGTTGGGGACACAACGTGAGCAATGAGTGTATTCTGCCTCTCATTTTTGGTACAGCGTGTGGAACCGCTCAACCCAGTTAGATCACGTTCCAGGCTCCGGTGGCTGGGTCACGTGTTGCATATACCAGCACACCGACTCCTGCGTCCTGTTATTTGTGTGGTCGGCTTATTGATTTCAGAAACGGAGGAGCGGCCAACCGATGGCTTCGTCGGTTGGTGTCTCCCAAGTGCTAGGCCGGGGTCCCAAGGACCATAAACACGCTTGGTTTGATTCACTTGCTGACATGACGTAGAGCGGACTGCAATGGCTTTGTGTTACGAGTTTCCTTGTCGCTAATGCAGTTGAGTGATCTACAATTTCTCATTCCGAATCTTCGAGATCTGCGTGTGAGAGACGTAAAGCACACCCATGGGACACTCTGTTGTCAAATTCCGATCTGTACGTGCCTCCAGCTGTTTTGTAAATGTGAGTACTGAGTCCCTCAGGCGAACATCCACGCATCCAGCAGCCTTGTATACAATAGCTGAAATATTTACACAAAACCCCTCCGTTGGAATTGGCAGCCAGAGCTCATCATCGACTCACAAGAAACCATCACCAGCAATCTTCTGTGCTCTCCTTTTTCTTCCCCTCTGGGTCTTATTCTCGTGTTTACTATAGACTTCAAAAGCCGTACTGACCAAAAGACGCTTATTCTTTGCCGTCTTGGCCGACATTCTGCTTCTGGTCTTCCAATGTCCACGCGCCGTGTCATATCGGCTAGCTGTCAGCGCTCCCTGTGTTTGTTTATTTTCGAACTAGAGCTGTGCTCTGTCTCCACAATACACCTGCGTAGATGATATGCGCAGAATATCGGTCTACGATAGTGTGTGGTTTAGGAGATTTGTTCGTGTATAGTGCTAACAATGTAGTTCCAACGGTGAAGTCCCTCTCCGTAACTTAGGGAAAGCGAGTATTCCCTTCAACAAGCTGATTTTACTGCGCCACTTAAGATCGCTCGTTCACGTCCTTTTTACGTAAGCTGAACGTTCGCCCCATCGCGCTCTGTTTGCTCTTGCAGTACTCGACTGGAAGAGACCATGTGAAGGTCAGCTACCCACCTGGCGATAGCATATGATGAAATCCTTGACTTCACGGTTTGTTGCCGTTGAATGCATACGTCTGTCTGGTTAGTAACCTAAGGATGTCGAGTGCCGATGGCTCGAAACAATTCAGCATATGGCGCGCACCTGAAACCAGTGGAAGTTCTTTGTACATACTTCTTTAGATTCGGATACTTAACGCGTAACAATTTAACCTATGATGAAAAGGTGGCGGGAGGAAAACTTTGTTTTTCTTCATTGTGGCACAATAACTGAAGTGTGTTGCTCACCTTCAACTAATGTACTATAATGATGATGCTGTGGTGACTCCATCTGTTCTCCGTTGAATTTTATACTTTTGCTTGACTCCATGTTTATCTATTGGACCGTTCATTCTGCTACTACTGCTACTGCAAGAAAACAGCACATGGATCCATCTAGTTTTTCAGATTCGCTTTCTAGTACTAGGGCATACCTACTCCGGCTCACATACTTGCGGTGTCAGGATCCGTTGTCAGTGGGTTTGAGTAGCTTACTCTGCTAAATTGGATCGCAGTGAACAGCGGCTTGTCTTCGACGCTTCGGAATATATTTGAAAGCGTTCCGTAAGTCCTCATTTTAGAAGGTTTGGTGAACGACCGGTTAATGTATTTGCTGGGTTCGTCCGGGGGATGTCTAAAAGCATCAACGGTACGCAGTATCGACGCTCCGCTGCTGCGGAACCACTACCTGTCGCACGTGGGCTAAGGATACTACGAGGGTCGCCCGACCCATTAAGCGGGCCCGAACCCGCGCCCTCGGATTACAAGGCAAGCTTGTAATCCTTAAGGCCCACGGGCCGGTTCGATGTCTGAGATGAATTCTATCGTCAATTCTGCTCCTTAATTCAAATTACCGAATAAACGGACATTGGGATCGTTACATACAACACGAATTTTTAAGTTATTTATCCGTTCGAATGAGGACGTCGCATCGAGTGCCGCTTTAAGGTCGACGCATCGCATACCGAAAATGGTGACTGCTCTCGTTCACGACTTCGGTTTCAGTACGAAAAGCGGCCGTATCAGGTGACATCTCGTCAGTTATTGAGCATTGCACTGCCAACCACATGTGATGTGTTACTTGCCAGAATGTGGTAAGCATATCCGCTCGCTGAGAGCACTGTGCGTCTACTTAGTTTTGCCGCCATTGTTTCCATCAATCATGTGAATGTTCTCGTTCACACTCATCATGTCTCTTGTCGCGTCTGAAGACCAGTGCTGGTATAGCACGGCCAAGCCTCCAACGTGGACCACCGTTTGCTGTCAATTTGGTGTTAACTCGCATTCCACTTTGTTATATGTTCACTGGCTCATTACTATGAACGCTGTACACACAGACTTGCTGCTCCCTCATATCTGAACTTCATTTGTTTCGGGTGTCAGCTTGCTCGTTGACGCCGCAGCGAATCGGTTAGGTCTGATGTCTGACGTGCACCTGTTCGTGTAAGCATTTCGAGGTGCAGCTAGTCGCTGAACGACTTATGATGGTTTCGGTTACCGGTTGATTAGTGTGGCTCACATCTATCCTTCGCACGACCATTCGCCTTTAATTTGCATCCTTATATATGCATACTTCTAACAGGCAATGTATTTGTTTGTTTCAGTCGCATTCCTTGTTGGTTTCACAAATTGACCACTCTAATGACTTCTGCAGAAGTCATGTACTAAAATTTGCGCACCTAATCGTCAGCCCTCGGTAGCTCAGTGGTAGAGCAGCGGACCGGAAATTCGTGGACCGGGGTTCGATTCTCCGTCAAGGCACATTATTGTGCGTGAATTTTAATCGTGACCTACTTTCTACACTCTAATTACATCTTGTCTGCGTATGGATGTGGTCATATGCTAATTTTTCACTCATGATTTGTCCTAAATTTCTTCAAGATTCCAAACCTCGAGGTTTGTGTATTTCCATGTAGTCATCGTTCATGGATCCTAAGACAAGATGCGTAAAATCCTTATCTTTTTAGACGTATTGTTATCTTTGTTTTGTTCCGCTGCTGCGGCCTATATATTGGTGCCAGCGTCTCGTTGCCGCATTTAGGCTACGCTGGGGTTACTGAACACGCACTGTTACATGATTGATGCTTGTCCGCGTATGATTCCCTGTTTGGCTTTACACGATGCGGACACCATCAACTTCTTTGCTTGTCCGGTGCAATCGTCTCGATTACCTGCTCCCTTAGATCGATACTCGTAGTTTGTGCAATCAGAGTGGCAGTATCCAATTCGATAACATTTTCCATCATGGAACGACCATGCATCCGCGTTTTGTTCGCCTGTTATGCATGCTGCTCCTAGTTTCTGTTCAGTTCGATTAGTCACGAAGTGTGCCCTCTACCTTACTGGCCGTGTCGTCGCGTGGATGGGTGTTGCGCTTCCTAACATGATTTCGACCATCTCCGAATTGATCACAACTGTTACTCACACACCTGTCTGGTTTCTTTCGCTTCAGCTCAATATCTGGCATGTGGGTAGTGCGGCATAAGTCTTCTGTAATCCTTCTCCAGGTACAAGAGTCTTATGACTGTTCAGTCGTAATTTATGGCAAAACAGGAAACTGTCATCACTTGATATTGTCATCTTCAGTTAGGTTCATTGCGATGCGTTGTGGTACAGGTCGCAAAGAAGTTGCCTCATCAATGCCACCTGCTCTACACGGGGTAACCCGTTGTTTTCGGCTCCACTGCTTTCCGGTTTTTATTTTGGTTACACGTCCAGACTGATTACGTATGTTGTGGCATAAATGTGCATCAACCGAGCGCCTGTACCATTCCTCTGACTTGCGACTGATGTTAACGTGAATATCAGACTGACTGTTCTCAGTGATTTGCGTCTTGGTCCCACTTAGTGGCATTGCCTGGCTTCGGTCCAACTCTCGTCATCGTTCGCAGTTGCAATGACGATGTTGCACAACCACCAGCATCTTTTCAACCCTGCTTTTGCTTTAGTAGCATCGGTCATTTATTTGTGTTCCACCTTATCTCACCGTTCTTTTTATATTCCTGTCTCACGCTTTCTGGCAAAGTGAATGCTTTTATTTGTGCTATCATTTATCCATTTCGCTTGTAAACAAGGCCACAATGCAGTGTGCTAGAACCAGCTGGCGTATCGTGATCCATATCTCGAGTGAACACTTATTCCACAACAACAAGTGAAGTGGTTATGGATAAGGCAACAAACTATCTTGGAAGCTTACAGGCTGGAGAGCAAGCACGTGGGCCTTAGACCAGCACCATTTTTGCCGTGCCTTCCATCATTAGCCAAATAATCGCCAAATGCGGAAACAACGATTCTTATACCTTTTTATGGATGAATTTGTCTTTCCCAGTAGTGTTTGCTATGGACTGCAGCCCACTACCTCTACCCGTCAAAAGGATCCCATTTTCTGTCGTTTCTCATCGATGTTTGCTTTTTGACCGGCATCTTACATCCGGCTGCTCTTTTCTTATCCCGTCACTTTTCTTCACTCTCTTTCTTACTCCATTCTCGCTCTATTCTGCCTTGTGTTTCATTTGGTCTACCGCAACATTTTGACTGCCATTCTCGCCGTGACGTGGTCCATCGTTATTCGGTCCATCCACTTCGGTACTTAGCTCTCAATTGTTTAATGTATATGAAAATTGGTTTTTTGTTTTCTCAATTCTTTCACAGGACATTTGGCTCACTGTAATGAAACAGGAACTCCTTGTTTTTATATGCAAATATGGAGTGCTTGTTAGTTCTGTTCCCATCTTTTCACTCGATGCGGTGTAAGGCAGCACAGGAACTCGGTTTTGGGTTCCATTAACTGGACTAATGCATAAGTTCTGGAATTCAAATAGACGTTTTATCGGTAATCGCGGGAGTATAGGTCTTAGCTCCGAAACAAGAATTCCGATACACAACACTCCCTATTCATGTCGAGACTCCGTACTGAAGTTTACCCTCCCACTCCACCTTTCTGATTTAACATTTTAACACACCGAATGCTTTTTCATTACATTTTGATTACACATGTCTTCCGTTTCATCATTCTAGGGTTCTCAACATGAGCATATCCTCTAATCGTCCACTAACTTTCGTAACATAAGTCTTGTTACTTTATGCTGTGTCGTTTCCACTATGTGAATCACTGCATGTTTCCCGTTCTTCCAGGGATGGCGAGCTGAAGCGGCGAAGACCTAAGGATACCCTAAAGCTGGCACAACAGCGATACATCAGTCAGTATCTAGTCCCCTGTCCATCAGATGAAACCTGATCTATTCTCACGAGTTAACAGTCAATACTCTTCACGTACTGGCTTCCCAGGTTCTCGCCGCCAATTCACCGTCTGTTCTTTGCATAGAATCATTCCGTGCTACAAACCCTTGTCACGTACATATTTTGATCTCTATTTTATAGATCCATACATCAAATTCTGTCTCTCTCTCCGCGGGCACTTTTCGTTCGTCGTTACTTTTTCATGCTTTGTCCTTGGGCTAATCGGCCTTCATAAATAAGCTGAACTGTTATGATCAGGTTTCTGGTTTTTAGATGAATGGACTTTACTAATGACGGGACCATCGGAAGCTTTTGATCATCTGAGAAGTAGGCATGACAGTAGCTGGCGCACATGCGTCGGAGCCTATCATTCTGACAGAGGAAGGTGAGACTGGTCAAACTCAGTCTCGTTTTTGTTCCATGAGCCACCGGGCACAGAACAGTTGCAAAAGCATATACCTCATTGGTAAGGCAGTCATCAGCGATGTAACTGTATAGGGAATCAAGGTAGTCGGTACGTTTTGCAGATACCACATTGCCACGAGCCCAATGGCAGTCACTTGTGGGTTAGTGTTTCAGCGATATTTCCAGCACCTTCACAGATTCGAACGGGCGACCAACGGATTACAGGTCCCATACCCAACCAATTCGGTCACCGGCGGCGTTATTTTAAAGCTCGTAGTGGCACCTACACCAGTTCGAGAACGGAACTGCTTTCAATACTAACGGTGTGCTGATTATCTTCGAGCCCACTATGTAGCTCCCATTTTGTAAACTCTACGACAACTCAACCTGCTATTGATTTTCACGTGGGCAACAATCATAGAAGCTTTGGTGACGACCCCTCGTAGTTATTGCCAACATGTTCACACTGATGTCCAAATAACAAACGAAATGACATCTTTCATCCATTTGCCTTCGACTTGGAGAGCCATTGAATTATGGTCCACATCGGTGTCACCTACTTCCCATCCTCTTGGAAGTGGCGGTTGTATTTCAGTCCCAATTCTTGTTTTCCACTACATGGTCTTGCGCTTAACAGCGATACGTCGTAATAGTACTTTATTGCCGTATAATCATATACTATGTTGGTCGGTTTCAGATACAAGATGTGGATACAAGTTGGTGACAGTCAAACGTCTCCCTTACGGCTTCCGCTGTATCGCCTTGCATTTACGAGTAACGACACTGCGTGCTCTCTGACGACGAGGCGGCTTTCTTATATGAGCCATATGTTTAAGTGAGCACAGAACGGGCTACATGGACTCAAGCTAGGGAAATAGGACACTTTCGCTCAATATAATCATATTCAGTAACCAGTGAACTAGACCGTAACCCTAGGTGCATGCAGGAATCAATGCAACCTATCCGGTCCTCGTTGTTACTTTAACAAATTACTCTGAGCATCACATTTACTTGATGAAACCAAGCGTAGTCTAAACATGTGCGAGACGTAAACAACACCGCAAACTGTTGAGCCTAAATTATACACTCGGTCCGATCAGAAACGATTCGACAAAAATTCATAGTTTGTCTATAACCTTGGTTCTAGGTAACTGGATATTCATAATTTCACATTAGCTGTAGGTGGGAAATACCAACTATTGTGTCACAATGCAAAAAGATAAAAATATGAAAACAGAGGATACAAAACATTGTAACATACAAAAAGCAGGTATATTACTCTTTAGTAACTTATTTTGCTTTAAGACAAGTCGTGGTTGGAGAGGGACAAAAAACAACAAACATCGTCGAAGTTGGCTCTTCGCTATGTCAACTAGTGTATCCAACCCAGCTTGTTCCTCGTCTTGGGACCCCAGTCCTGCAGTCGGGATACACCAACAGATGCCAAGTTCTAAGAGAACTTTCATCCCTCTTGACCAAGTCGTCGTTTGTTCTCCCATCTTCAGGGGGGAAGATAAGTTACAATTGAAGCAAGATGGGGTAGGGCCGAGGATTTTGGGGTTGCAAACTGCGGAGATAGCATTAAAGTTGGAAAGTAACGCATGAGAATGCGCCAGAGGGGGACTACGAAGCGTAATGGCTTGCTCAGTAGCGTCCTCACCGGTATCCACTTTGCAGCATATAAGGCGTTGTTGATTATCCTCTGCGACCTCCAGAACCTTGAGAAATCGTGGAATATGGGTCTTGCCCGCTCGAAAACACTTCACACCATGACGCGTTTCGACCTTATTTGATCCCATCCGGTAACCAAAGTAGTACAAGTTTCCGCTAGTATTCCATTGGTGCCGGGTTCCAGGCTTGCTATCTTCCCCTGCTGAGAAACGCGTCGCGGTGTGCAGTGCTTTCGAGCGGGCAAAATCCAAGTTCCCTAAAATTCACCTATGGTCCCAGTGATCAAGTTAACCTTCGATGTGGATCGCGCTTTACGTTGAGATTGCGCGTCGCAATCCATTCACACGACGAGTTGTTTAATATGACCCTTTATTCATAGGTTCATTGTGTTCTATTTCTTGGGCAGAATACTATCAGGTTGCTCATGCTTAGGCAGCAGAATGATCGGGGTTCTTTGTATGGTCACCAAGGTGGCACGGGGCTGCCCTGATTGGATGTTCGAGAAAACCTATGCGCCCCGATTGGCCGATCAAAATGTCATGGTCGCGTGTACGGTGTAATGGCCGCCAACCGCGCGACAATTACATGGCGTAGACTACCGGTTTTCATGTGTTCTTGTTGACCTTTTTGAACTTTTTCTCTTCTATTCTTTACTTACCATTACTAGTGTTACATTGTGCGAGAGCACTCTTTCCATCAACCAATGCGATTATTCTACTTGATTTCTGGAAAAAGGTTGGAATTCGGTCCAGGTCCATTCGTCAGGAGATGCACTTTCCGTTTGAACTCTACTCAATCTGGGATTGACTTGGAGCGGAGTTACAGGTACTCGCAGCGATCCCTTCATCTTTTGAGCCGATAATCAGCTGCGGAAGAGGTTGATGGAGTGGTACACTTATCTTGCAGTATAGCTCCTCCTTAACAGTTTGTACTTGTTCAGAGATATTTCACGAACCGTCATTAAGACATATTTGCCTTCGACTGTGTAGCTCCTGAGTTGCTTGATGCGGCGAACCCATCTGTTATCGCTTACGGCCACTTCATAGCAGACATGACCATGTCTTTTTATAACCATTCCATTCGTCTAGAGGATTTTGTTGTTCCGATAGTCTTGCTGGTACCTTGTGATCAATGTCACGGAATAGCGCTGTCTTCGGTTGTGCTGATGCACTGTTACCGAATTGCTTTCCTTGGGTTCATCCAACGGCCTTATTAGATCACGTTTCGTTCGAGACCTTTTTATTAGAAACGATTTTGCTGGGCACTTTCCATCGGATGTCTGTGGATTAGGCTAATCCTGTATGTTAGTAGACAAGCCCATTGGACCTGTAGAGCTAGTTAATACTAGTCCGATACGGTGCACAGAATAAAATGTCGATATCAGAAGATAATTGGAGTCGGACACAGCGGACTGTATTCGATGTGCTACAAGAAGACCCGGACGGATGAAGCGAGACAAGAGTGAACACGTGAGCGCGGGAACTTACAAGGCGGTCGAGTATCGAGCCAGTTGTAAGGAAGATTAAAACAAGAAGGAATAATGTACAATCGGTCAACAATTAAATTGTACATGAAAGCAGTTATCTTTTTGACGCTACAGGGCTCCCCCCTAGAAGGCTGAACATAGAAAGCCTTCGATTTCGAAAAGGACTGTTAAATCGAAGTTCGTAAGACAAAATCGTGCCGAGTAAAAATGAGCGAGCGTTTGTGTCAAGTGGGGGGTTCGCCGGAAGTCGGGGTCCGCTGTGCCGTTTGTGATTTGTTATTGATTGCAGGGCAGCGTGCATTTCGGCGAGCCGTTGGAGCGGGCTTGTCGGACTACAAAAAACTGGCTAGCCTAGAGAAAGGCCGACTTCCGCTGCTGCTAAACGGTGCGCTTGGGAGTGCTCTTCCCCCCGCCACGCCAAAGCTACCCTCATCCCACGAAGAAGCGACACTCGTCCCGCGGAGCAACCACCAGCGTTCGCGTCAGTGTCCTCGAAAACATTCCTCGTGTGGGCCAGTCGCTCGAAGGGGAGGGTTGAGGCATGTAGAGATGAGAAAATAGAAAGACATGCGCAGAAAACGCCTAAACGAACGAACGAATGATTTGCATGTTTGGATTTTTTGGTTTTTGCATTTTTAAAGGTTTTTCGGAGGTTTTTGCTATTTTTTGTTTCCTTGTTTGTTCGACCAAAATGGGGCCAATGTACACGATATCTACAAAGCTAAACGTATTTACCCTGTACATAGTCGGAGAAACGAACCGAAACGAGAAACGCACCTCCTGACCCCACGACGATTGGTCGTGGGAGGTGGCAGGCTGGATTCGGGAGTATCTCGGGATGGCTGAAGCTTGTAGACCGAGATCGTGGTCTGGTTGAACTGCACTAGGCTTCTGTAAGCTGGTGCGGTGAGTTGTGACGTCGCACCAAGCACTACTGGACGAAGTAGGCGAGATGGTTTCTTCCATAAATGCGGATTTTTGACGGTCGATGGTGACGACTTCGCGTCGACCACCGCGGTCAATAGTGTACGCCTTGCTCGCACGATGTAGCATCTTGAAACGTCCTATGTACGACGACTGAAGAGGCTGTCGAACACCGTCTGCGCGAAGAAGGACGTGTGAACACGTCGACAGCTTCTCGGGCACGTACACTGGTGTCTTCTGCGATCGAGGAGCGGGTGGACGTAGCTCACGCATCAAAAGTGGAAGTGCATGGAGCTGGTGCTACCACCTGTCCGGGCAACTGCAGCGTGCAACCGTAGACTAGCTCCGCTGGTGTGGCGTCGAAATCGGTTTTAACCGTGTTTCTTATGCATAGGAGAACGAGGGGCAGCGTTTCAGACCATGAAGGATCTGCGTGCGCACGTTGCGCTGCCTTCAACTGGCGGTGAAAACGCTCCACCATTCCGTTAGCTGCCGGATGATACGCCGTCGTC